AATGAGCAGTAATATTTTGAAAAGAATCTTTTTTTCTGAGCAGTAGGTCTCAACAATAGTCTTAAAATATTCAGTGAACCATGTTGTAAACAGATGTGCTATCATCCAGGCTTTGTTGTTCTATTTATAGAGCACAAGCAGAGTAGATTTAGCATAATTCTTAAGGGTCCTAGGATTTTTGGAATGGTAAATGAGGTCAGCTTCAACCTAAAGTCACCAGCTGTATTAGACCCTAACTGACAAAAGAGATTTCAGTCTATTCTTTGAAGCTTTGAAGCCAGGCATTGACTTCTCCTCTTTAGCTATAAAAGTCCTAAATGGCATCTTCTTTCAATATAAGGCAGTTTCATCTACATTGAAAATCTGTTGTTTAATGTAGCCACCTTCTTTAATTATCTTAACTAGATCTTCTGGATAACTTACTATAGCTTCTACATCAGTACTTGCTGCTTCACCTTGCACTCTTATGTTACAGAGACAGGTTCTTTCCTTAAACATCATGAACCCACCTCTGCTAGCTTCAAATTTCTTCTGCAGCTTCCTCACCTCTCCCAGCCTTCATAGAATTGAAGAAAGTTAGGGCCCTGCTCTGGATTAGACTTTGGCTTAAGGGAGTGTTGTGGCTGGTTTGATCTTCTATCCAGACCACTACAACTTTCTCAGTATCAGCAATAAGACTTTTGTTTTCATATCATTCATATGTTCACTGGAGTAGCACTTTTAATTTCCTTTAAGAAGTTTTCCTTTGCATTCTCAATTTGGTACCACATCCACCTACCTTGAGTTCTAGCCAAGGGTATATCAGCAGCCTCAGTCCTACCATCTACTGGTGAAAATAAGGTCAATTGCTAACCTATCTTCTGATCAGGTAGCGTGTGGGGAGAATCTCTGAACGACTATGTATCTCTCATCCAATCATACGACCCATTCCCCATGAAGTTGAAGTCTGGTCCACCTTTGTGTACCTGGACCCCCTTATATAGATCTATAAAAAGATGATTTTAATAAATAAATGGAAGAGAAGAGAAAAATCTTCCATGGAAAAGAATTCTAAATAATTTATTTGGATATTGCACCCTCACTCCTTAAGCATAACTCCTCACTCCTTAAGTGTGGGCTGCAAGTTGTGACTTTCTTCCAAAGCATACAATGTAGAAAGGGGAAAAGGAGGAACATTACAGTGAAGAAACCTGACAAATACTATCTCAGCCAAGTACTCAAGGTCAATATCTACAGTGATAAATCATATGGATAGTATGTACCCTTAATATGATGTGAGGAATATCATACTTAATTCTGTAGTCTTCCTCTCAAAACCCATAGCCCCAGTCTAATTATGAGGAAAACATCTGACAAATCCCAGTGAAGGAACATCCTACACAATGCTTGACTCGTACTCCTCAATACTGTCAAGGTCATCAAAAACAAGGCAAGTCTTGTGAGTCAACTATACTCCAATAAAAAGAAAAAAGAAAAAAAACTAAAAGGCGAGTCTGAAAAACTGTCACAACCAATAGAACTAGATACAATGTAGTAAACTGGATGGGATCCTTGAACTGAAAAAAGACATTAGGTAAAAAGTGAGAAAATCCGAATGAAATGTAAACTTTAGCTAATAGTAATATATCATTATTGGTTCATTTACTATAACAAATAACTGTATTGTAAGGTGTTAATAATAGGGGAAACTGGATATAGGGTATATCTAAACTCTGTTATCTTCAAAATATCTTTAAATGTAAAACTTCTAAATTATGTTTATTTTTTAAAAATAATGTGAGCAAAGCTAATGTTTATTGAACCTTTGCTTTGTGCCAAACATTGTGCTAAAAGCTTTGTTTATATTATCTCACTGAATGCTAAGGATGACTTTATGAAATGAATAGTTATCCTCATTTTATAGGTAAGGAAATTGAGACATAGGTTAAGTGGATTTCTTAAAGTCCAAGTCTAGGAAATTGGGGAGGAAGGATTCCAATGCAGTCTGTCTAACTGTAGAGCCAGTGCTCCGTTTTTGTCATATCCATATAACTTATTAACAGACATTGAGCTCAAGAAGAATGCTTAGCATTTTTCTAAAACTAGCGTTCATCAGACAAATAAGACTACAAGGAAGAATAAAGAGAAAACTCTGTGCTTGCCAATAGACAAAATAAATGTACTTCTAAAGCAGATTGAAGAATTGAGGTTTGAAATAAAGGCAGAAGAAACTCAAGGAATGATGAATCTTACTGAAGCATTTAATGAAGAGATGCTTATATCCAGAACTTTGATTCTTGAAACTTGCAGACAGAATGAAGTTGATCAAGCATTTGAAGTGTATTGAATCATAGGACATATACTAACACAGGGGTCCCCAACCCTCGAGCTGAGGACCAGTATAGGTCTGCAGCCTGTTAGGAACTGGGCCGCACAGCAGGAGGTGAGCGGCGGACGAGCAAGCGAAGCTTCATCTGCCGCTCCCCATCACTCACATTACCACCTAACCCATCGCTCCCATTACCGCCTGAACCATCCACCCCCCACCAACCCCCCTCCACATCCGTGGAAAAATTGCCTTCCCTGAAACCGGTCCAAAAAGGTTGGGGACCACTGATCTAACACAGCTGTATTGGAGTTTAAATGTCAAAAAAATTGTAAGAAAAGTGAGGGAGAAAACCTAAAGCTCCTCAATATGACTGCTCCTTCACTGTCTCTCACCCAGTTTCTCTTTAGGACTGGATATCTCCCTGAACCTAAATGACAGCTCACTGAGCTAGGGCCCTGTTATACAGCTCAACTAATATTAATCCCTTTTTCTGGAGTCTAGGAAATGGGCAGCAGGGAGCAATGGAATTCATGACCAAAACTCCCAGCTGCCATTCAATGTGCACTTCATCTTGTAAGTTCCCATGTATGTCCTTGCCTAAATATGATCTACACTCAGGCACTTCCTCAAGTCTGACGCCTCCTTTATCTCTAGGATGCTTGCCCTATCTTGGCTCTTACTGGATTTAACACCCAATTATGTCATCTGTAAAATAAGACCATGAATATACGTATGTTACAAATTGATATTAGAATTAAAAAACAGTGTCTTCATAAAATTTCCATAGATTCTCTGATCTAATCTTATGAGACACATATTAATATAATTATATCCACCAAACTTTTGGTGTAAGAACAAGGCCATTTATTTTGTTTTGTTTTTTGCACACAGCTTTGCATATGGTTTTACTAGTTGGATTTCTACCTTAACGTCTGTCCATCAAACATACCTGTAATGCATAGTTTACAGTATCCAGCTTTGGATTACTCAAAGTAAAGCAAAAGACTTCCACTTTTTTTTTTTAATAGAAAAGTAAAGGTGATGTTCTCACCTTTTCTCTTCAAAATTACACAAAAGCAACAAATAAAAAGAGAAATAGAAACACAAATTCCTTTTTGACAAAATCAAAAAGCATATTAAATCTCAAACCATGTACATTATGAAGTGCAGTGAAGATAAAGAAGGATGCAGAAAGATGCCAAGAGAAATTGCCCAGGGCTACAGATCACCAACAAAACCAATAATATAGTTCTTTAAAGTAGCATATCCTGAGGAACAAAATCAACAATTCCTAGTTTGGAACAAATGCAGTTGATGACCAGGGTGGTGCTTCTCGGTTTGGCATAAAGGGGAGACAGAATATTGGAGAACCCAAGGAGTCACATTGAAAAGCCATGTTTGTAGGAAGCAGTATGCTGATGAGGCAGGATTGAAAAAAGATTGTGAGTTCTGAGTTGTCCTGTAACTGCTGATCTCACATGACAGGACAGAAGTGAAGACTAAAGGCTATAATTCATACACAATTTTTTTGAGAGGAGAGTTTTTGCTGGCTTGAAGTGCAGACCTAGATCTAGTCCAATATACTCTACTGCAAAAATTTGGTCCAGGAGGTACTCATTTGATTCAAAGATGGGCAAAATTTTAAAAAGGGTTGGAGAGAAGGCCATAATCTGCTTGGGTTCTATACCAAAGGGGAGATCTTTTCTGGAAAGCTACACTAGAAATTGGATGAGACGAAGCTTTACTTGTCACTGTTACCTACCCTTTTGTATTTTTTGAATTCAAAAGAAATTTCATGTAATAGAAAAAGAATAGGGGCTTTGAAAAAATATTTAGATATTTTCAAGGAAATCTGAATACAAATCCTTTCAGATTTTGGACTCTTTTTATTCAGTCTTTCATTTGTTTTGACCACATATAATTTGACAGCAATTTCTTCTGGTGACGCTGCTTTATCAGGCCTTTCACAGAGGCATTCAACTTATAGAGAAACAGCTTTGCCTTTTGTATTTGTATCTCATTGGTTTTGTAATATTTATTCATGTCATATTATAATATAACTGGAATAACAAGTTTTAGAACAAATACAATTAATTCAGTAGGCATAAAGCTCAACTGGTGGGAACAGAAACATGTAAATGATCTAGAAAGTGGCCTACTAACCACAAAGGTTCAGTGTACTATGGGTGTCTTATGTTTTAGAGAAAAAAAACAGCAATGCTTGTTGATGAATTTGTTAAGTGGATGTTAGAAGAAATTACCTTAAATATGAATATATGTCCTTACTGTATTCCTTTTGCCTTTGAGTTATTCTTTAGGATATATAGTTTTAGATATATTGTTTAAATTTTAATTTTGTTCAAGAACTGTTTATTGAGCTCCTACCTACTGTGCACCCCAAGCATAGAAACAAGTGAAAGTATGTATTTCATCACTACTTGTTGAAATCAAACAAAGTTAATAGGCTGTTATTAGTGATTTTACTTAGGATATACTGAATAACCTATATTGGTACAGAAGATTTAAATGAAAGAATTTAGTTATATTGACTTGTTTCATGGATATCCTTAGAGCTCTTCAGACACCTAAGGTTGTTTTAAATTGTTATGTTTGTTTTACTTTAGGGTATGTTTGATTAGAAAAAAATATTTTTAACTGTTATTAAATTTATTATTGTTATTTTATCTTGAAGCTGCCAGAAAGAATTATAATGGACTACTACGAGAAGTACAAGCCTAGAATGAATGAGCTGGAGGCTTTTAATATGGTAAATCTCAGAATTAAACATATTAAATTGAATATGTTGCTAGACTTGAGTAGGATCCTATTAAATTTTTTTATGGGGCCAACCAATCTGTGTTGTTTTTCTCTTAATGTAGAAAAACCGTTTTGGATCATTTCCTATTTTAGAACTATATTAGGTGTCAGTAATGCAATAAAGAGAACACATGGTAGATTTCTCTTAAAGTGTATTATAAATGCATGGAAAGAAGTTTTAGAGTTCTTTGAACACATATTGGTCTCAATGCAGTTATTTCACAAGCATTCCTTTTAATGAATTTCATTCTTAGTACCCCTTTAAAAGCTTTCTATCACATATGTATGATTGCTTTTGGATTCTATCCCAAAGTCACTCAAAGGACATTCTTTTCCTTTTACTATTAAAGAAAAACTTTTGATCTCTGAAGTATTTATTTTCTGAAGATGTACAATGAGTATTGGAGATTTGGCCTTATATGAGTTTCTGTAGATACATTTTCTTAAACAAGTGTTAAGCTAGTATTTTTGTTTGTTTTAAAGTACCACCGTCCTATCTTATACTTTCTTTTAGTTGAAAGTTGTTCTGGCTCCTTGCATAGAGACACTGATTCTTCTGGATCGACTTTGCTACCTGAAAGAGCAGGTAAATTATGTTAATTTTAAATGCATAACAAATATATTTATTAAACCCAGTAATATGGATCTGCTTATAACTAGGATAACATTCTTTCACATAAAACTAGTAAGATAATTTTTCTCATTATATTTTCCAAGTCTAAATATTCTTTCCATCTCTTTTGAAACAAAAACATATGTACAACAGATGTTTCCAGCAAAGCTACTATAATAAAGTTTACATTCTTTTAATTTTATGGTAATTACTATACAGTAGACGATGCACACAAACCATCATATATGACATATTGTGTAGCTAAAATTAATAAAGGCAAGATGTAAAAGATATCATTTTTATGCTTCATTTTATAAGAATCACCTTTTAATTCACTTTTGAATTTTTGGACATATGCACTCTGCAGTTTAGAAATTTCCTTCTCATCAGTGATAATTGCTTCTGTTTTTTTCAGTCTTATTTGTTTTATCTTTGTTGAATGACCAAAAAATATGATTTTTTGTTATCTTTGGGAAAAATGTGTTTTTCAGATTCTACTCTATGATCAAAATAATGTTTTTGAGCTCTTTAAAATTAAGCCCATTTGTGGATTCAGCCTTGTTTCCAGTATAAACTCTTTATTTTAATAATTTTGTTTTATCATATGGAGAGCTTTATTTCTTTTCAGCAAACTGCTTGGAACAGATGGATTTTAATAATTGGTATTTTTATGGAGAAAGGCAATTTTTAAATATTTACATAATTATGTACTTTCCTAAGCTACTAACTAATTCAAAATCACTGGAATCTTTTGGTTCTCAACTTGTTAGTTCACAGAATCAGCCTTATTTTACTAGGTACTCATCATTTCCCTTTTAAAACAATTTCCAGTGACCTAAATAAAATAGGTAGGCAAAACAGTATGCACCAAGTTTAACAGATTGGTAACGAAGTGATAGAAATCATATAATTGTTCATTTTGTTAATATTTTAAATAATATTTTACTATTATAAAAGTAATACACACTTATGTTAGAGAATTTAAAATGAAGAATATAAAAAAAATTAAAAGTAATGATTATCTCACCTTTCAGCATTAGCTATTAAATTATTGATATGTTTTTTAGAGCTTCTAATATATGTTTGTTGCATGTATATGTATGAGCATATTATTTCTACTTTAAAATTGGAATAAATTGTAAATGCAGTTTTGCATCTAATTTGTTTCATTTGTTTTATTTAGAATTTTTCCATCTCATTAAATGTACTACAGAAGCTGAATAATGTTTCATCATATAATTTATTTAAGTAATACCCAGTTGTCTCTAGCCACTTCCAGTTTTTCACAATTGCAGCAAGGAGTAGCCTTGTGGTTCACTCTCTATGCATATCTTTATTTCCTCAACATAAATTCCCGAAGGTGAATTTCTAAGTGTTAATTTTATTCAACAAAGAATAATTTTCTTTTATATAGTTTGTTTTTCATGTAGTTTTTATATTCCAGTATGTAGTCTAACATCTCTCATTTTTATCTTCAACAAGTAGTTGCCTATTTAAATCACTTACCAATTTGCAGGATGATATTGCGTGGTCTGCACTTGTGAAGTTGTTTGATCCTGTGAAATCTCCCAGATGTTATGCCATTATTGCACTGAAGAAGCAGCAGTGATTTCAATTGAAGCAAGGTATTAGATGTATCTGTTTGTGGAATCAATTGCTAATTTTGCTTTTCTAAACATTAATGCCATGTTACATAAATATTTGAAAAAATTGCTATATATTTTAAATAGGCAATAAAACAATAGCTAACAACAGAATGCCTTAATCCATTTTCCATTGTCAAAGCATACATTAATTTTAAAAAAATCAAGAACTCATGAAAATATTATAAAAGGATTTGACCTACATTTCTGAGTTAGTACGTCTATAGGACATTGTAATCTGAGCCTTGTTTCCTGTTCAGTATTTGAGACCCTTGCTATTTGCTGCATATCACATTTTGACTTTTTACCAACTTAAAATCAGATGAAAGGTATAGGTATAGATACAGTACAACTAGTTGGTCCTGAAGATCATTAGCATTTTCTTTCACATTTTGGAAGGATTTTTCATGTTATCAGGAGAGAAAAAGTCATGCTTAAATAAATACCCAGGAAGCAGGCCAGACATAAAAAGTGCTTAATATAAAGCATATTTTATACTGTGTTTTAATCTAAATTACATAAGGAAATATTCTGTGTCCTTAAAGGAATATGTGTCTTATAATTGAGATATTCACTTTAAGGATTCTTGGGGCTATTTATCTTACTAAAATAAAGGATGGGTTGTCAGTTTATGAATCATCTGGTACTCTGTAAAAAACCAATCTAGGAGAAGCAGGAGTGAATAAGAGAAGACCCACACTCTGCCCAGTATGGTACAGAGTTCTTTCATTAGCAGAAAACTTGAGGTTTCTAATACACACAGAAGAGATGGACAACTGGGAAAAAGCTTCCTTGATTATCAGCTAGAGACTGCATAAAATTCTCCCAGAAGAAGAAGTAACTGCTTTCTTAAATTTTAGAGTCTATACACAGATGAGAATAATTTTTTGCTTTGGGTTGTGATACTGAGTTTGTAGCCAGTATATGTGTGAATGATCAGGTGCTTTGTATACCTAGTACAACACTGGGAAAATTAGCCATTTTTTAAGTTTTTTATGCTGAAAACTTTAAACATGTCCAGAAGTGGAGAGTAGAGTATAATAAATCCCCATGTACTCATCACACACTTCAGTAATTATAAACATTTTACCAATCTCGTTTCATCAGGACACACATGAAAGTGCACACAGACACACATTTGCCACCCATACTCACCTTCCCTGGAGAATTTTAAAGTAAATCTCAAGCAGTTTGTTATTTCACATAAATACGTAAATATATATTTCTAAGTTAAGGATTTCTTTCCATAATAATCTATTACTTATCCTCATTCACATTTCCGTGATTGGCTCAAAATGTCTTTTATATCAGTTGGTTCAATTCAGAATCAAAACAGGGTTCACACATTTGCATTTGGTTGATGCGTCTCTTTAGGTTGCTTATTTTATTCTATTTTATTTCCTTATATTGTTTGCTATATGAGTATCTAACTCAGGAGCAGAAAACCGTTCCAAGCCTACCTTCTTTCCTTTCATAATTTTAACTTCTATGTAAAATTTTAAACTTTTTTTCTGATGCCCAAATATTTATATAACATTCATTTCTCCTTATAATAAAGAAAAAAAAAAGAACCTTATATAGGTAAAGCTCTACTTATATGGGTAAAGAGAAGTGAATTACAAATGTTTTAATACCAAGGAAAGTATGTAGTTACTTCCTAGTGTTTCAAAACATTGTCAGAAATTGCATTTACCAATTAGAGCTTTCCATTTTTTATTAATCAGAGACAAATGTGAGATTCCAGCATCTAATCAACATGAGATGATCTGTACGGTCACACTGAGATGATAACATTTCAGCAGAAAGCAAAGAAATACAATATTTTGGTAGGACTTTATACATGTGAATCCCTGTTGCACTGTTTGTAGACTCATCTCATAAAAACCGCTCTTTGAGAACTCGTTTACAAGTTGAATGAAAGAGTGGTGCATTAGCAGGAGCACCAATTCTGACAATTACCTTCTGGGTGAGTTAAAGCAAGACTCTTAATATCTCAGAGCCTCATTTGTAAAGTAGGGTTTTATTTAATATTTATTTTATAAACATTTATTGAATGCCTACCATGTGTCAGAGATTATGCTAGGTAGGCACTGGCAGTATGGAGGCAAACAAGACATGTCCCTGTCCTCAGAGTTCAGTGAAGAAGACAATAAAATTACTAATTACAGTAATTAGAACTATAATTACTGAACAGGGCTGAGAGGATCAGGGCATAGGATTCTTTAGAGTATCTCCAAATCAATAGACTTAGGGGGAAGAAGGACTCAGTAATATTAGTACTGTAGTTTAGATTCATGTGACTTAAGTTGTTTTGTGTCCTTGCCTAAGTCACTTAACTATTCGGTGTACCTCAGTTTTCTCATCTGTAAAAAATAATGTAAGAATAGAATTTACTCATAAGGTTATTAAGAGGATTGACGGACTAAATATATGTTATTCAACTCCCCCAAAATATCTCCAGCCACCCTGTTAATCAAGCAAAACTAAATTTATTAGAATTCTCTTCAGCAATAGAGGACTTCCCCTTGACCGTCTTGACTGTCTCTGAAGGAGGAAGTCAAGAAAGGATATTTATAAGATTTGGAAGTCTGGGCTCAAGGAGCTTAAGGCAGCTTTTTTAAGGTGGAGAACAGACTGGGATTGGGGAAATTTCATGACGTAAGTTTTATGGTTAGTATCTATAGCAAGGTGAGGGCCTTGAACCAAGTCTTGATAAGTAAACTGTTGCTTAATAAGTGAACTCTCTGCCAAGGAAAGCAGATTGTTTGTCTGAGATAAATTAATATATGGGAATTTCCTGAAACAAACAATGAAGTTATTTATTGGTTTACAGTCTTATCTTTCCTGGGGAAAGTTTTCTTGCAAAAAACAAATAAATCATGTTGAAGCAGGTGGTCTCAGTTCTTAGACCCCATAGCTCTGTCACATTGATGCAGATGGTTGTGGTTCTCCATGTAAAGTACTTAATTCCTGGCACATAATGCATAATATAAAAGCAATAGTTGTGTTTTTTAAATGTCCTAGAGGGAGAGAAGTGGGAACTTACTTATAAGTTATGACATTGATTTTGTAGGGGAAAAAAATGTGTTCTAGATTCTAATCAGACAACTTACAAATGGATTTTTATTGTCCCCATTCAAAATTTGAGGAATTGTCCACATTTAAAAGTGGATTTGATTACTGGATAAAGAACATTACTTTATGCTCAGTAGTATGTTTCACAACAGCAATTTTGCTTGCTGACATAATCTGTCATTTTAAGATTAATATTCATTTTTAGATTAATTTCTAACAGTGATTGCTCTGTATCTATAGGTATAAATGCTGAGACTTATGCAAAAGACCTCCCACACTACATGCATCTGTTGATTGTTCTTTAATTGGCATTTCTAGCTACTGTGCATAATAATAATTATTATTATTACCCTCTTTAACATGCATAGTTATTCCAAAGTCTTTGTCATGAGGCATGAGGTTTCTTTTTTTCCTGGATGGCTATGAGCTAAATTGACTGCGTTTTTTTAATACATGTTTGTTTGTTTTTTTTAATTGAGATATAGTTGGTTTACATATTATATAAGTTTCAAGTGTACAACATAGTGATTCACAATTTTTAGAGGTTATACTCCATTTATAGTTTTTATAAAATATTGTCTATATTTCTTGTGCTGTATATCCTTGTAGCTTATTTATTTTATACATAGTAGTAATCCCCTACCCCTATCCTGCTCCTCCTTCCTTCCCTCTCCCCACTCACAACCATTAGCTTGTTTTCTATATCTGTGAGTGTTTCTTTTTTGTTATTCTAAACAAAATATAAACTAGTGAACAAATATTCACTAGTTTGTTTCATTTTTTAGATTCTACATATAAGTGATAACATATAGTATATGTCTTTCTCTGTCTGACTTATTTCACTAAGCATAATACCCACCAAGTCTATCCATTTTGTTGCAAATAGCAAAATGTCGTTCTTTTTGACGGTTGAGTAGTATTCCATTCCATATATATGTGTGTGTGTATACACATATATGTATATGAATAGTACATATATAAATAAATATATGAAATTTCCATATGCTCTATTTTTTTTCTTCCAGTTTTATTGAGATATAATTGACATACAGTACTGTTTAAGTTTAAGGTGTACAGCGTGATGATTTGACTTACATACATCATGAAATGTTTATCACAGTAAGTTTAGTGAACATCCATCACCTCATGTAGATACAAAATTAAAGAAAGAAAAATAAATTTTCCTCGTGATAAGAACTTTCAGGATTTACTCTCTTAAAAACTTTCATATATAACATATAGCAATGTTAATTATATTTACGTTGTGCACTATGTTCCCTGTTATTTATTTATCTTATAACTGAGAGTTTGTACCTTTTGACTGCCTTCATCCAATTACCCCTCACCCCATCCCCCTCCTCTTGTAACCACAAACCTGATCTCTTTTTCTATGAGTTTGTTTGTTTTTATTTGTTTTTAAAGTATAATTTACCTACAGTTAACACTATGTTAGTTCCTGTTACACAACATAGTGATTTGATATTTCTGTACATTTCAAGATGATCACCATGATGGCTCCAGTTATTATCTGTCACCATACAAAGATAATGCACAGTTATTTTTTTAATTGAAGTATAGTTGATGTACAATGTTGTGTTAATTTCTGCTATACAGCAAAGTGATTCAGTCATATATATATATATATATATATATATATATTTCTTTTTTTATCAATATATTCTCTTCCATCATGGTTTATCACATGATATTGAATATAGTTCCCTGTGCTATACAGTAGGACCTTGTTGTTTATCCATTCTATATATAATAGTTTGCATCTGCTAACCCCAAACTCCCAGTTCATCCCTTCCCCACCCCCCCAACCCTTGCCAACCACACTGTACATTTCATACCCATGACTCATTTGTTTTGCAGCTGGAATTTTGCACCTCTTAATCTCCCTCACC